ATAATAGCTATCACTTCCATTTGTTCAGGATCTATTATGTGGCTGGCATTGTGTTAAATAACCATTTGATCCTTGTTAAAAAACAAAAACCAAACCTTCTGGGGCTGTATTACAATTTTAGGATGAGGAAACAAACACAGAGAGACTGAATAACTGGTCGAGGGTTACTTATTTGGCATGCTGTGGAGTCAGGATTTTAAGAGACTGTAAACTCAGATGCACTCAGGGGTCAGGCAGGTTATACGCAAGGGTGAAGTTGGCCAGGTGTAACATTTTAGAGAGAAGTGAGGACAAGGGAAATGGCAAGTATACCCAACACTTCCACAGGCTTGCAGAGCTCCAAGCCTACCACTACTGCACCATCAAAGAATTTTAGCCAGGTGCAGTGGCTCATGCCTATAATCCCAGCACTTTGGGATGCTGAGGTAGGATAGCTTGAGACCAGGAGTTCAAGACTGGCTTGGGCAATATAGTGAGACCCCAACTCTCTAAAATAAAAAAATTAGCTGGGCATGGTAGTGCGTACCTATAGTCCCAGCTACTCAGAAGGCTGATGCAGGAGGATTGCTTGGACCCAGGAGTTGGAGGCTGCAGTGAGCTATGATTGCACTACTGCACTCCAGGTGTGGCAGCAGAGCAAGACTCTGACCCAAACAAACAAACAAACAAACAAACAAAAAACAGCAACTAGAGAAGAAATTTTTGGGCACGGTGGCTCACACCTGTAATTTCAGAACTTTGGGAGGCCAAGACAGGTGGATCATTTGAGGTCAGGAATTCAAGACAAGCCTGACCAATATGGAGAGACCCTGTCTCCACTAAAAATACAAAAAGTAACCAGGTGTGGTGGCACAAGCCTGTAATCTCAGCTACTCGGGTGGCTGAGGCAGGATTGTTTTGAGCCTGGGAGGTGGAGGTTGCAGCAAGCCAAGATCATGCCACTGCACTACAGCCTGAGTGACAGGGTGAGACTCAAAAAAAAAAAAAAAAAAAGAAAAGAAAGAAAAGAAAAGAAAATTTTGAGACATCATGCCTGCCCCCAAAAAGCAAAAACAGACAAAGAGAAGAAACCCTGAAGCCTACATTTATTCCATAGGCCTTAGTTTTCCAACCTCTGTGATGTGAAACTGGATTAATGCTTAATGGCATTAAAATTTTTTAGGGTAAACCTTTTTTTTTTTGAGAAAAAAAAAATTGTTGACCAAGCTGGAGCACAATGGCACAATCTCGGCTCACCACAACCTCTGCCTCCCGGGTTCAAGTGATTCTCCTGCCTCACCCTCCCAAGTAGCTGAGATTACAGGCGTGCACCACCAGGCCCGGCTAATTTTGAATTTTTAGTAGAGATAGGGTTTCTCCATGTTGGTCAGGCTGGTCTCGACCTCCCGACCTCAGGTGATCTGCCTGCCTCAGCCTCTCAAATTGCTGGGATTACAGGCGTGAGCCACCATGCCCAGCCTAGGCTAACCCTTTTAAATGAGATAAAACAGAGAGGTAGAAAAGTACACAAATTGTAAGTATATCACTTAATTAATTTTCACAAACTGAACATGATTATGTAATAAATTTCCAGGTCAAGAATCCTAACTTCTAACCCTATATATTAATTTTGTCTTTTTCTGAGCTTTACATAGATAGAATCACATAGTATGTCCTCTTTCGTACATCTGCTTTCACCCAGTATACTGTAAGATTTTTTTCCTGTAGCAGCAGGAAGCAATAGTTCCTTCTGAAGAGCTTTTATTCTCAAATCTGGTGCTTGATTTATTCACCCAATGTATTAGTTCATTCTAATGCTGCTCTAAAGAACTGCCTGAGACTGGGTAATTTATAAAGGAAAGAGGTTTAATTAACTCACAGTTCAGCATGGCAGAGGAGGCCTCAGGAAACTTACAATTATGGTGGTAGGCAAAGGGGAAGCAAGGCACTTTCTTCACAAGGTGGCAGCAGGGAGAAGTGCAAGCAGGGGAAATGCCAGAGGCTTATAAAATCACCAGATCTCGTGAGAACTCACTCACTATCATGAGAACAGCATGGGGGAACCACCCCCATGATCCAGTCACCTCCCACCAGATCCCTCCCACAATATGTGGGGATTATGGGAACTACGATTCAAGATGACATTTGGGTGGGAACACAGCCAAGCCATTATCACCTGAGTATCTTATACCTGTGCAAGGAAGGAGGAAGACTTCCTTCTCTGAATGTAGATTTTAAAAATGAAAACAAGCTGCTCTAGGACTTTGTTAGAGTTGTGGAAAAGTTTTGTTATTAAAATGTATTTTCTCATGAATTGCCTTGTTCTGTCCACTCACATCCCTTATCAGGTAGTTGGGAGCCATGTTATTCCCATTGATTATATTCAGAAACAGAGGTCACATGCAGTTACATGATTATATGCTTTTCCCAAGCACAAGTGTGGCAAAATAGACAACTGAGATTTTAGCTGAGGTGTATTGATTACCAATCTGATGCTATTTCCACCTGAACACACACCCCTTAGCATGGTACAAAAGGCCCTCTCCCACCTCAGGGTTGGGGGGATCTGTTCAGTCCTCTGTCACTCGGTGCTCCATCTGCAACCCCAAGGATGTTCAGGGATGCCTGCGAGGTGAGCTGGGCTAGTGCCCAGAGACTGAGGGCTTGGAAGAAATCCAAGAGGCCCGAGGGTAGCAAGGTTAAATACAGTGCACTAAGCTTTGTCTAGGCTCTCCTTTTCCTTGTGTCTTGATTTCCCGTGGGAGCCACAGCCTTTCTGTGTGGTAGTCCATTCTCTTGTACTATTGGATAACTATGGAACTCAGTGATGAAGCCACCAGCCCCTTCAGGCCCTGTGTGCCATGTGGCCACGTTAGAGACCAAATGCATCCCGGAAACACTGAGTGGGATCTGAACCTCAGCCCCTAATGTCTCACTGGTCTGACCTGTGAGACACCTCAATACCTCCCCTAAGCAGAAGAGCCTGCTGGGGCACTGGGTTCAAAGCCTGGCTCCACCACTTATTATCTGGGGGACCCTAGGTGAGGCATGTAAACTCTATAGGCCTTCTTTTCCTTGTCTGTAAAGTGAGGTTAATTATAGTGCCTGCCTCAAGGGATTCCTATGAGGATAAGAGTTCATGTAAGCAAAGCCTTTAGCACAACACTGCCATCAAATATACACTCTAGAATTGCATGCTGTTACTGGTCATCTCTGTGGGTCTCCATTTCCTTCACTGTAAAATGTGGGTCATGACAATATCTACCTCGTGGGACTGTTGTCAGGAATAAATAGTCGATCCATGTAAGTCCTTAGCATCGTGGCCAAGTTCCTAGCAAATGCTCAATAATGTTCAGTTATTATTAGTATGATTTTTATTACAGGTCAGTACTTCTACGAATTAGAATGTCTCTCCAATCTTTTGTAATGGCAGTCCACAGATATCAGAAGCAGTCAAACCTCCAGAGTACCAACTTAAGTCTATGTGCTTCCGTGGAAGTAAAGGTACAGATGAACCTGCAGTTGGAGTCCAGCAGTGTGTCGGCCTGGTACCCTTCTTACCCAAAAGACCAACTTGCGGGTAAAGAAGCAGAGGTTCCATGTGGCCAGATGGGTTTATCTAGCCTGGCCCGAATGCCAGCTGCTGCTTCAGAAAATTCTAGGAGGCAAGAAATTCTTGTCCTACGAGAAGTTCTCTTTCTATAAAAAGGCAACAGAATGGAAAAGGCAAACAACTTTCAGGTTCCCCCAAATGTACCCAACGTTGAGGGAAGGTCACATGTGGTGGCTTTGAACCCAGAAATGTTTCTTTGAGTACAGAAACAAAATGATATTTCCCCCTATATTGTCAAGGGTCCACTGGAGGGAGGTTTTGTTCCTTCCTCTCCTTCTCAAAGAGCCTCAGGGATACATATTCCTGTTTCAAGAGCTCTGGCGATAGTCTTGGATTGCCATGAACTTACCACGTATGTGTGGATCAGTCACTTCTGACTTGGCCTCAGTTTCTCCATCTGGTAAAATGAAGATGTTGGATTACATGACATCTAACATACTTTCTAGCTCTGACAATCAATTACTCATTGATTTCTGTCATGGTAAGAATGGAAATTCATTCCCTGGCATATAAATCAAACCATTAAAGGAACTGGGGGCTGGTTCTGCAGGCTAAAAAAGGACAGCTAGCACTGAGGTTCTTCACTGATCCACAGACAGGCTGTGAAGGCTGGCAAGGCCTTGCATGGACAATTGTGTGTGTATCCAAGTGGTGGCAGTGCTAGCTAGTATTTTTGCCTGCCCAGCTCTCTTGTCCCTCTCTTCTAGAATAGAATCCATTTTTCCCTGTTGGAAATTGCTCCCCCCACCCCCACCAGTGAGGCTGTCAATCACATGGCCTTGAAAAAGGTAATTGTGCACATAATCCAAAAAAGAACCACCAAGTGTCCCTTTAGGGGACAGATGTAGATGTAGCTCAGAGAGAGAAAGTCTCTCCTCTAAAAATCAAAACTACTCAAAGCTGTTGGAAGTCATCTTTACAACCAAGTGGAGAGAGCTTACTAGAGTCCAAAGCCAACTCAATAGAAAGTGCAGAGGGAAACAGGGAGAGAAGAAGCAGGGTAAAGGGAGAAGAAGGGGAGAGGGAGGGAGAGACAAGAAAAGGGAGAAAAAGGGAAGATACAAAAGATGGGAAGGAAGAAGAGAGGGAGGGATCAGGAGAGATAGAGGAAGAGATTGAGAGAGGGAGGAAGAGAAAGGTAAAAAGAGAAAGGAAAGAAGAAAGGTAGGAAGAAGAGAGACAATGCTAGTAACTTAAATTTCCTAATTTGAACTTCTGATTTTCTAATTTGAACCTCTAGATTCATATGTACATAAAGGAAGACTTACGTCTTCACCTTTCCAGTTAAATGAGCCAATAACTTCCCTTTTTACTTAAGTCCATAGGGTTCTTCAAATGGGGATCCATGACCCTCAATATATTAGAAACTGCACAATTGGAGCATTTATTAGTGATAGAATGAACTCACTTCAGAAAGAAACGAGGTTTATTTGATGAATATAAATAAGGCGATCAGCACAAAGTACTTCTCATACACATGATAACAAATTTATGAACTGTACATACCTTGTACAATGTTCTACTAGACACGAGGTTACAATGACTGGCTAATACATGCCCACTGGTAGTTTCCAGGGTTCCTTAGTTTTATTTATTTATTTTTCATATCGATGTCCATAATCACATGGTCAATATCACAACCCACATGCCACTCACTTGAAGAAATATTACAAGAAGCACTATCAAACGAGGGTCTCGGGGAATTAGATACACTGACCCTCGGCAGCATTCAATCGCCACTCTACACAAAAACATTGCAGATAGAGCTTATGTCAACACATTTGAGGTCTCGTCATAAACACTGTTTAAAAAGTAAATTGAAACCCACTTTCAAATGAAAGTTGACACGCTGCTAACGTGCATACTGGATACACAAAAATCATTAAATACAAAATTGAGACTGAACATCGAAATCAAATGGGGTATCAAGTACAAGCCTGCTTTTGCACAAAGACCAACTTCTCCTAAATGTTAGCCCAAACATCTTTTTTCAACTATGTTATGATTAGAAGGAAACCTGCTAAAGTTCGCGCAAAGGAAATAGCTTCCCAACATCACAGTGTTTGTTGTAAACCCAGAGACTATTCTTAATATGTGAAAAAGGGATATTTTTGGTAACCCCCCAAACATCAGAGATTATTACATGAAATGGGAAAGGTTGTTATGTTAGAGAGAATTTAAATTTTAAGGGACTAAATGATGTGCCCCCATAAAGGTAAGATCAATATTACTTTTAACCAACGAAAGTTGGGCTGAAAATGATCCCTCCAAACAAGAGCTGTGACAAAATTGGCACATACATAGAAATAGCTAGCTATATATGGGTTGGTTGGTTTTTTTTCTGTTCCAAGGACCCATTTTCCCTACTGGATTTCCTACTTCCTACTTCAAGTATTCAGTTGCAGAGTTCAGGTCAAGACCTGGTTGTAGGAGGCAGTGAGGACCACTTTTTGAGGACATTCAAACTGTTCACTGGGACGCATTTGTGGCCTGGGTTTTCAGTGCAACATTGTGTCAAAATGTGCTAAATAAGCTTGCAAAGAACTCTGCTTACATCTCTAACCAAGACCTAGATCCCTCTGATAGTTAAAGGACAAACTTTTAAAACATGAATGCATTTGGATTGTTTATGCAACATGTAAGCATTACATAGTTGGTTATACTTACTGATGACAAGAACAAAGCCTGAAGCAAGAAACCTGCTTGAGTATCTTAACCGTGAATGCACCAAGAAAGAATGGTGCAACTCAGGGACAGTTTCATCTTCCCCGACAAATAAGGTGTTTGTCTTTTAAATATCTCTATGGCTCACAAGAGAGGTCCAGAGTTAATTGCACCAACATTTAAAAAAGTAATAATAATGACTAAATTCAATGCAAGACTTCAGGGACATCTGTTTAGAATCCTTTCCACAGCAGCAAAGAAAGACAACTATATTTATTAAGGCCACTCATGCTTAAATTCACTGTTTGTCCTTTAAAAATGCAGGTTTTCATCTCCCACTTGCATACACGTGGAAGGGTTTCTTCCATTGACAAGAAAATGGAGCAATACAAGAGTTGCACATGTTTGCCAGACTCAGTCATGAGTTTTATGAAGTTATAACAATTTTAATTTTTTCTTAATATTCAGAGGAAGCAACAGGAGTTTAATTCTCCTTAGTACCATATCACTGTATGTAAAAGACCTCAAAATTTGGTCTTTTTCCCTGGCATGTGCTTTAAATAATGACTGTATCCACATACATGTTGTGTAGAGCTATATACAGAGACACAGCTTTTGTGATTGTTCCTCATTCATCAATGTTTTCATGTTTGATGCTGAAATGCTTTGGAATCCATGTTGCAGACACATTTTCTTTAAAAGGAAAAAAAAAAAGAGAAATGACCCTTCATTTACAGAAAATCTAAGCTTACACTGTTTGCACAGCATTTGGATCTTGAAATGTGAATGAGTCCCAGCTTCTTCATGGAGACCTGCATGTACCGGGATGGAAAGAGTCTGAGGCTTGGTGGCGTCCCCGCCGTGGGGATGTGCAGAACACAGGGACTAGAGAGATGCAGGTGCCTCAGGCTTTTGCCACTCTCCAGTACATGACGGGGTACTGGATAAAATTATGAATGATCAATTTAGATGTGCCATGCATTGTCAGAGACACACACCATGTTCTCGTAAGGCGATTTCTTGGCAAGTATTAGTGGTTTAAAAAATTGATTTCATTTCCAACCTGGCCCAGAGGTAACTACTGGTTACACCCTCAAAATGCGGTTCTTCAAACAACAGATTAAAGAAATAGAGGAGGGTAAAGGCTCGCAATTTTTGGTGTTTTTGTTTCTTTGTCAAACACTCCATGCATCATGGTATACAAGCACTGCCAACACCACTCACTCACAGCGAATTTACACTTTTTGATAATCTAATGCATTAGGAATGCCCGATTAGACTGAACCAGCAGGATACTGGAGATGAGGCTAGTTGTCCAACAGAAGCTAAATCCATAGTTAAAATCCCATGGAGTTCAAATTTATCCAATGATGTTTAAGTAACATAAACAAAATGTTATCAAATAATGACATTCAGCAAAGATGATCACATTCAAAATGCCCGCATCCCGACAAAAATGGAGGAGCTGTCACTTTTCTCCTCCTCTGCATTCTTCCTTTCCATCATATCCAAATCCATGAGAAATGACATGAGGTGATGAAGGAAATATCAAGTAGAACAGAATCACGCTCAATAATGTAGGTGAAAACTCCCCTTCAGTTCTGATGAGCCGCTCCAGGTGGTGGTGGCCAGTGATGTGAGCCTCACTGCAATAGATTATCAGAATATTGCTGCAGAGCTGCATGTTTCCTTTATTCAGCCCTTCTGATAGCTGCAACAAGAAGGCACATAATTTAGCAGGAGAAGAAACTGGCAACAATATCTGAGATAATCCTGGCAGAAAGTTTCCCACTCTTCACCCCTTCACGCCTCTCCACCACTCTCAATGGTTGGGGTTGGGTGGGAGTGGGGAGGGGGTAAGGGGAAGAAACATAGAGGAAGGACAAAGTAAACAGAAAGATAAACTATGTCCTGCAAGTGCATCTGAGAAGAGGCCTCTTTCAAAATATGTCACATATATGTACAAATGTCTCTTGATACACAAAAAAGGAAATTGAAGGGAAATATGCCAAAATGTTCCAGTGATTATTTCCACATAATCAGACTATATGTCAACTTTCATTCTCTCTACACTTTTCTACAATGACGACGTTTTTAAATTATTTTTTAATTTGATTTTATAGACATTAAAGAATTAAAGTTGGTTAAGATATCAGAGAACTTAGCATTCACTTAAAAACCAACCAAACATAAATGCGACAGTCATCCATTTGTCTATTTACTGCCCTGGGAAACAAGTATCCAGGAGCACCCCAAGGTTTCTCACTGTCCCAGTGAGGAGCCCTGAGTGTGGATACAACTGCATCCTGGGAAGCAATAGTGCAATGGGTGAGAAGAGGGGTCCATCCCACACTACTGCTTCAGATGAGGACTTCCTTCCCTGCTGATGCTCAACTTTGTGTGCCTGTGCCATTATCATTCACATATGGCCTGTGAGTGCTTCAGGGTTTCCAGCCACATGAGCTCAGCTATCTGGGAAATACGGCAGGGAGAGAAAAAATCAAACATACACACACACCCTTGTGTACACACAAGTCACTTGTACACATATCCTGAGCTGTCTCATTTGGTGGTTGATATGCAGCGTGTTTCAAGTCACGCCGACTAACAAGAATGCCAAAGATCCCAGTGTCTGCACAGGTAGGCAGCTATTTCACACCATCACTAAGTAGTGCAAATGAAATATGTGGCTTGGATGAACTCTGCTAATTCATACTCTGAGGAGTTTGGTGTAACCCTTCTGGTTAAGAAACTTGAATCGGGGTAAAAAAAATGACTTTTGCAGAGCCAGAAAGTTAGGGAGTTCCTAGAGCAGATCATATTACTCATTCTGGCACATAAACTCTCTGCAAACTTTGTATGAAAATTGTAAGTCAGAGCACGCTTTCTGTTTCATGAGCTGTGCATAGCTCTAATTCTTTTGTGCATTAAGCATTTCTTAATCATCCTTTTAAAGGGCTGACCAATTTATTAAAAGGCCACATGATTAAAAGGTAAAGAGAAACCCTAAGTAGTATTCAAATGCACCAGTCCTTTTTTTTTTTTTTTTTTTTTTTTTACAGATGGGGAAATGAGTGAAAAACAATTACAGTGAATGTCCGATGTCCTTGATGTTTTTCCAAGATAAAGTAGCAAAGAACAATCATTTATTCAGTTGTGAGAAAGATTTCCAGCTGGGCAACAGGTCACAAGGCAGAATACAATGCCCCACAATTGCAGCACACTGCTTTTGGGTAAGGTTTATGCTGGAGAGAAGAGAATTATCTAAAAGTGTAGTCATTCTTTCAATCAAACAATCCATTCACCAGGAGGCTTAACTGGCTTTAAGGAAAAAAAGAAAAACAACAAGGTAACCTCAGGTGACACACCGCCAGCATTTGGAAATGCAGATGATCCCTTGTGGAGGGGGCAAAGAAGCACATGCTTTAAAAAATAATAATAATAAAAAATGAATCCTGGCTTCCAGCAATGAGCCAATCTAGGCTGCCACCCACTGTGAGATGATCCCTGGCCAGTCCTCCCTCACCTGGACAGTCACAGTGGCCCTTACCCTTCTCCAGCTTCCTCTTACAGCACCGCACTTTCAACGCAGCAGCCGACAGCAGCGCCATTTCAATGGTGACATCCACTCCATAGTGCATTCCCTTTTACAGTTTACAACCCCTGTTTACAATCCTGTTTTTAATCCCATTGCCTTTAGGATGCAGGACTGATGGACTCCAGGCCGTACTGGCGAGGCCCCATCTGGCCTCTCTGCAGTCCTGTACTTACCCCTGACATTCCACTCTTGTGTTCCACCGAAGAAGAATGTTCCACCGAAGCTGAGCTTGCTTCTGCAGCCCTAAAAATTTATTTTCTCCTCATCTCACAAGCGTGTCTTTCTATCTAACATGCATTTACACCAGCTCTTTATCTGATCGATCCCTGTTTATTCTTCAGTTTCAGCTTGGATGTCATGTCTTCCTAAGAAGCCTTTCTTGACCCTCTTGGGTGTGATATAGAGTGGGAAGTCTCACATATACTGCAGGGTCTCCTTCTGATGAATTTTCTAGACTTGTACATCCGATAGAGTGTATGTGTGTATGTGTATATACGTATATATCTTTCATTTTGAGGCAGGGTCTTGCTCTGTCACCGAGGCTGGAGTGCAGTGGTGTGATCATGGCTCACAGCAGCCTCGGCCTCCTGAAATCAAGCAATCCTCCTAGCTCAACCCCCCAAGGAGCTAGGACTACAGGCACATGCCACCATGTCTGGCTAATTTTTGTATTTTTTTTATAGAGATGAGTTCTCACTATGTTGCCCAGGCTCGTCTCAAACTCCTGGGCTCAAGTGATCCACCTGCCTCAGTCTCCCAAAGTGCTGGGATTACAGGAATGAGCCACTAAGCCCAGCCTACCAGTTTAGAGAGCACCTCAGGTAGGCAAAATCCTTAAATCTACTCCCTACCCAAGATTCCCTTCCTAATCCCTGGCACAGGGAGCGAGAAGGTATCAGACCACGTTTACTATAAAGTTACCTTACGATGTAGTTACTAATCAGTTGACTTCAAATTAGTCTAAAGGGGGATTATCAGCTGGGAGAGGTGGCACATGCCTGTAATCCCAGCACTTTGTGAGGCTGAGGTGGGCGGATCTTCTGAGCCCAGAAATTGGAGAACAGCCTGGGCAACATGGCAAAACCCCATCTCCACAAAAAAAGTTAATTAGCTGGGTGTGGTGGATGTGCCTGTGGTCCAAGCTACTCGAGAGGCTGAGGTGGGAGGATCAACTGAGCTGGGGAGGTCGAGGCTGCAGTAAGCCATGATTGTGCCACTTTAGCCTGGGTGACAGAATGAGACCTTGTCTAAAATAAAAAATAAAAAAATTTTTAAAGGGGTGATTATCTGAGTGGACCTAATTTAATGACAGAAGCCCCTTTAATAGCAGAGATGTTTATTTGCTGTAGCAGAAGAGAAAGTTAGGGAAATTTGAAACCAGAGGGATTGGCTGTGCTGTGATGGAGTGAGCCGGGGCAAGGACCTGAGAGCTTCCTATACGATGTGAGAATGGCACCCAGGTGACTGTCAGCAAGGGAACAGGGACCACAGACCTACAACCACGAGGAAATGAATTCTGCCAACAAACCGAAGGAGCTTGAAGGTGGATGCTTCCTGGAGCCTTCAGATTGAAGTCCAGCTAAGTCCACCTTGACTTTGGCTTTACGAGAGCCTAAGCAGAGAACCCAGTTGAGCCCATCTGGGCTTCTGACCTGTGTACAAAACTGTGAGCTAATAAATGGGTGCTATTTTCACCACCATATTTATGGTAATTTGTTATGGAGCAATAGACTAATACAGCACCTCTCTGGGTCAGGCAACGTGCTTGGTGCCAGAAATGTAATAGTGAGAAAAGCAGACAAGGTCCATGCCTTCATGGAGCCTGTATTCTTGGGGAGGAAGACAGAAACAAATAGACACACAGATCAACAAATGAATGAGAATTTAAACATTCGCACCATGAAGAAAAGGAACGGGGAACTGTGATAGGGATGCTTAAGATTTATTAAGTGACTGATGACAATTATGACGTCAATCTTTATTTTCTTTTCATGGGAAAAGATGTCTATCCACAACTTTTCAGTGGAAAAAGCAGATTACCATTTTATATGCATAGCTCCATCTCATTTTTGCATCAATATATACATAAACATTTGCAAGTGTATACATTAGAATATTATTAATATTTATCTCTGGGTGATGCTTTTAAATTTTTCCCCTTTATTTAATTTTTATTATTTTTTTGAGATGGAGTCTCTCTCTGTTGCCCAGGCTGGAGCGCAGTGGCGCAATCTCAGCTCACTGCAACCTCTGTCTCCCTGGTTCAAGCGATTCTCCTGCCTCAGCCTCCCAAGTAACTGGGACTACAGGCGTGAGCTACGGCGTCCAGCCATTAAAATTTTTCTCCTTCAGACTTTTTTTTGGTGTGCTTTTTGGATTTTTTTAAACCTAAGAATATATAAATAGTATCATACTAAAATATAAAGCTATTTTCTTTGTGGGGAGAAACCAGGATTGGGTAGGACTGCTGCTCTTGACTTGGTTCTAGGTGTGGGGGTGTGAGGGGCGGGGTGGGTGACCGAGCACAGCAGTAAGATTCCGCTCCAGGACAAACGCCCCAGGGAGAGCAGGCTATAAACGTGTGGTGTCTCACAAATATTCCTTCAGACTGTTTTTCTTTGGAATAAAGACACCTGCCCGATTATGGCTTTCTTCTCCTGCCCTTTCAGTAGTGATTTGCAGAAACAGGCTGGGAGAAAGGGGTCTTTGGTAAACACGGAGGGGTTAAAGGGGAAACTGTTTAATAACAGTAGTAAAACGCAGGCTATTTTTGACATCTGGGTTAATGTCCATTATGTTCCATGTGCTTTCCAAATGTGTGCAGTGTGCCCCCAGGTACAAAAACAGACACCCATTCACGACGGCTTCAGATGCCCCTAACACGCTGCACGTGGTGCCCACAGAAAAGGCAAGCCCCTGATAGACTAATTAACAACGGTTGGAAGAGAAGAGCTGCTCCTTCTGGGGGCAGCGGGCATCCTGCAGAACAGCTCCATGAAGCCACTCTGCTCATAGGAAAACCCAATAGAGTCGTTTCTGCTAAAAAAAAAAAAAAAAAAAAACTATAACTACATCTGTGTTATTACTTAACATCTTTAAACATGGAGTGGAAT